GATCTTAAAGCGGCACTGTCATGGCCGAATCCCGTATTTTTTTAACCCCTCCCGACTCCACTACATCTAATTGACCCCCTAGTCACCCCTAAATGCCCCTTAGCCTCCCATATTACCTATTTTTGAATCTTTATTTTGTGCCAGGACCTATGTTCAGGGCGCCGCCATCTTTGTGTGGGTAGATGAAGTCCCTGTGGGACACGTCATCTGCCCACACTAGATAGCGCTGTGAGATTCATTCACATGCCCAGTTAAACACTTGGGCATGCGAACGGGAATTTAATCTATTCATTCATTTGTCAGAAAGACAAATGAATGAAAAGAAATGTCAGACAAACAAACAAACACTGAATATCAGAGTTCATTTGTTTGTTCAGTTCAGTTCAGTTTATTACAAGGAGGGAGCTACCGGCGTGCAGCTCCCTCCTTCAAAATGTAAAGATAGAAGCGTCAGGGAGTAGTGCTTCCCGCTACTTTCTAAGCCCCCATGTCCTGCCTCACTCTATGTGGGTCAATATGACCCCCCCCCCAAATAGCATAAGGGAGATTAAAATCTCCTGAATGCCCCTACTTGCTGTAGCAGTTACCCCGGATAGTGGAGGGGTTTCTACCACTGCAGGGTGTCCTTCTCCCGATGAGTGAAGGGTAGAGTTGAGCGAACCCGAACTGCAAAGTTCGGGTTCATACCGAGCATTAGGTTTTTTGGACCCCGGATCCGAACACGTACATATCACTGTAGGTTCGGGTTGGAGTTTGGTGTTCGGCGATTTAATGGCGCGTTTTCAAAGGCTGCAGGGCAGCCAATCAACAAGCGTTTGACTCGTATATCAAGCTGCTTTATTTAAACCAGTGATCAATAGCTAAGAGGTACATCAACAATATTATAATTCTGGAGCAATACCCTCACAAGTCAAACTGAGATGTCAGTTTATAGGGAAAACTGTTGCCTGGAGGAAATTCTAAAACAATTTCCATATGTCCTTTGCAGACTTCACATGCTGCAAAAACACAGGTGCCAACTGCTGTGGCTTTCTGCAGTGTGCATACCGGCAAGGAGGGCAGAGTTGAGGAGTGGGTGGAAGATGATGTGGAGGATGATGAGGTCCTAGACCCCAAATGGAATCAAGGTCATGCTAGTGATGTGTGCAGTTTGGAGGAAGAGGCGCTGGTCGCACAGAGGCACCAGCACAGCATAAGAGGGAGCAGGGTGCAAAAGCGGAGCGGCCGTCCCCTAGCACTCGTCGGCATGTAATAGCTCGAGAATTACCCGTTATCCAAGTAATACATGTAGCGATCAAAGGATCCATAATAGACTTGAGAGAACCCGAACTGCAAAGTTCGAGTTCGTACCAGATTTAACGATCCATTTGCAGTTTCACAGTGAGGTGGGCTGTCCAGTGACCAGGACCCAGACACTGTCTGGGCGGCGGTCGGACGACCGGGACCTAGTATGCCTAATGTTGAAGTTAGGAGTCACAGTGTGGAATGGACTAGAAGGGTCTGGTGCAGGGTAACCGCACGCCCCCTGGTGTTGAGCACCAGCAGTTGTACGGCCACATACCAGGACCCTGATGCAGCTTCAGTAAAAAGAGTACTTGATGCCAGAAGCCATCACCAAACTGATCCGCAACTTGGAACGGGATGTGACATTCACTGTAGCGGCTGTGCATGCTTTTGGCGTTGTCACCCTGCTGCTGCTCGCCTGTCTGCGCTGCAGCGTAACTTCGGCCTTCCCGCTCACCACCTCATGAGACTGTGCGACCAGCAGCAGACTTCCCTCCAACTGATCAGAGTTAAAGGATTTCAAGTGGACTCATTACAATTACAGGGCCTCTAAAGAGTCCTGTGTTGTAATTTGTTGTCACTACCCTCCCGCGTCGGGAGTAGGTCATTTGCGCGCCTGCTGCCTTCCTTGCATGTGGTAGCCTTTTCTCAGGGTCCCTGTATGGAATGGAACCCTGATTCCCCGTTACCCATGGTCACCATGGTAGGCGCAGAAAATGGCATCGGAAGTTGATATGGATGACATCTGCATGCAAAGTCGACGCCACGGGGATGTGCAATTTGCCCGAGGTTCTCTAGAGTCAACAAAGTTCCTGCGCAACTATAATGTCAACAGCTACTATGCGGAACAGAGTTGCCTTTTTTATATGCCCCAATATTTTGGGAGCTACCCCAATTAAAATTAAAATTTATATTTATATATATATATATATATATATTAATATTGTGACAAAGTGTTGGGGATGGTGGTCAAGGGTGTATATCTGGCACCCAGACTTTTGCGCAGCCACTATCCTGACATGGCGTTAAGCACATGCAACCCCAGGGAAAGTTAAGTTTAAATGTAGGTTTTTTTTCTCTGTTATTTGGGTCCCTGGGGTGGAGTATTGGGAAGAGCAGGGTGGGCCGATTCTCCACCCACTGTCAGAGTGGTTGTGCATGAGTCCAGCCCAGGTTTTCTAAGGAGTTCTGGCTCACTACCTAAAGAGGTCATTAGCCTCACCTGAAGGGGCTGTGAGCAGCTTTATAACTGCAGTTAAAGCAGGGTGGAGTGAGGGAAGTGTTTTGAGGAGAAAGAAGGTTTTGCTGCTTGTTGTATTCTGTTGTATCCAGTGACTTCTTACCAACAGAAAAAAAACAGGCCAGAGGCCTTTGAAACTGTCTTGACCTGGCGTCCTTACCCTAGAGGGCTGTACAGTTTCCAAAAGATCCTGGACAAACACACACAGGAAAGTAAGTTTGTCACAATATATATATATATAAAAACAGTGTTGGCTACCTCATCCTCCTCCTCCTCCTCCTCCACCGCCACGGTCACCGCCTCCAAGCCGCAAATGTTTCTTTTGTTGTATGTCCCAATATTTTGTGGGCTACCACAATTAAAGTAAAAAAACAAACATAAAAAACAGTGTTGGCTACTGTTACAAACTGCTATTTGTAACTGGCCCTTTAAATGGCAAATTGCCCTGCTTCCCTGGGTTGTGGAGAAGCCTATTTGCCAGCCTCCTTCCTCATGACTATAGCCCCTGGGAGATTGTGCACTTTTGGGTGTGTATGGCCCTTTAAGACAGTCGGTGGGCATATTGGAGTTTATGTACTTTTTATGGGACTGGTGCTGGCCCTTTAAGCACCTTTTTGATGCATAGGGAAAATTGGGACACTGCCCCTTTAAGACGGTGACCCCAGTGTCCCCAGACCTGGTTAAAACCCTTTGTGCCTAGCTATTTCCCACTTAGTTCAGTAAATGGGGCTTACTGAACCAAGTACCACACAGGCGGACCACCTGTATTGGGAGTGTCGGCAATTTACCTCCCAGAAGCTGCAGTTAACCGCAGCTTAATTGACAATGCTGGGTGGCCTTTGTTCGTTTGCCGAACACGTGGCGGCGGCCATCTTTGTTCATTCGCACGAGGTCAGCAGTATGTGTAGCCAAATTCATGGAACTAATATCGGCTACACATTTCCGCGAACCCTACCTTCTCCCACAATGATTTTGTAGCCGCAGAGACTAAGTCCCATTCGGCGATGGGACTTAGTCGTTTTTTTCAGCCTGAAACAGAACGACCGCACAGCCCAAATCTATGGAACTGTTTTGGGCAGGAAAATGTGCTTTCATTCGGTTATAAAGGGACCTCCAGCTAACTTTTTAACCCCTGGATGGATTTGGCTGATTTTTGGTTATGTTTATATTTGAAGGTTGCTGATTCTAAATATGTATGTATTTTATGAAGATTGGATGTGTCGTTTTAAAGTTACAGGAAATGTATAAAAACTGTATTTTGCCTGCCAGTGTTAATTATGTTAAACCAGGAGCATCCTTTCTACGGTCCAACTTCCAGACAGCCTGGAGGCAACCGTAACAGCTACCTCATCCTCCACCTCCACCGCTGCTTCCTCCTCCACCGCCACGGTCACCGCCTCCTCAACCTATGCGTCACTAACTAGGTACACATTAGCAGAGGCTTGTGAAGGCCTTTTCTCCATGCATCAGGAGTTGAGCATTTCTCCATGCATCAGGCCTGCAAGAAATGCACCGCAGGCCACAAATGTTTCTTTTTGTTGTATGTCCCAATATTTTGTGGGCTACCACAATTAAAAAAAAAAAAAAACATAAACAGTGTTGGATACCTCATCCTCCTCCTCCACCGCCACGGTCACCGCCTCCTCAACTTATGGGTCACTTAGTATAAACTATGTACACAAGAGCAGAGGCTTGTGAAGGCCTTTTCTCTATGCATCAGGAGTTGAGCTCAGTTTGAACAATGAAAGAGAATACCCTGCACTCCAACCCTCTCTCAAATGGATAATTCTGGTGATCCTCCTGATAGCCATGCTTTAGATTTTGATTCATGTTCTTCCAAAGCTAAAATCAAAGATTCCATCTAGTGCTATTTTATGGCTCAGCTGTATTTTTAAGTTTTATGTTATTTTAAGTGATTTCCCTATCAACATTTGTTTGCAGGGCACTTGTCCTACTCTTACCCACATTTTACTTGCTTTTGCAGCTCTCTTGCTCTTTCCATGAATTTTTTTAGAGGCATTTTTGTGGCTAAAAGCTCGGGTTCCCATTGACTTCAATGGGGTTTGGGTTCGGGGTCAAGTTCGAGCCCGAACCCGGACTTTTTTTCAAAGTTCGGCCGAACCCGCCGGACCCGAACAGGTGTCCGCTCAGCAGGAGGAAAAAGGTCAGGAGGTGAAGGGGCCGATCATGAAACCGTGTGAGATTTTCAGATGAAAGAAGAATGTCTATGGATACTGGGTCTTGGCAAGCTGACAAGAGGTTGGGACATTCAAACATGCCTGAGGGGATGGCTACGAGTTATATGCCCGGTTCTCCAGCACATCTTGAGAGGCTCTCAGCAGTGACACCAGACACACGTCCTTCCCATCTAGGATTTCTTTCCTAATGGAGTCTGGGACGAGTGCGCTGGTGACACAAAAGGTGACGTACCTGTGGCTGGTGCTGGAGGAGGATGTATATGGGAGAGTGGTGTTGTAGCAGAGACTGCCGGGATAAGGGCTGGGAGGCCAGGGAGGTTACCTGGGGAGGCAATGGCACTCTCCACCTTAGATAATCTGTTGTTCAGGGTCTGTAGGTTGGCCAGGATTGCTGCAAGGGTGTCCTGAGTGGCAGTGCAAGTGCCTGATGGCTGTCCTTGAAATGGCCTGGCCTAGGCTCGGGGGCCTGATTGGTCAAAAGTCTATAGAGTTTTGCCTTTATAGCCGTAGCTGGAAAGGGGATGCTCCTGAGCCTAAGTTTGGCTATAAATTTGGGAATAGTCCATGCTCTCAAGGATGTAGGAGTAGATGGGGTGAGAGATTCGCCTGGAGACTATGGTCTGATGGGAGTGAACAGGATCTCTTCAGCAGACAACTCGTTGGTGGGGGCTGGTTCTTGAGACATTCTAGAAATAAATTGGTGAATTAGATTTAGTAGGGGCGAAGGAGGGAACAGAAGGGGAGTATGGGGGGGGGGGGTTCCTTAGGTGAACTCGACTATAAGGCTAGTGCAGAAGTGAAAAACTTAACTGTGAACTAGTGACAAGTGAGGCCCTATCTATGATTTGGCCGAGGAAAGTTTGTTGCCACAGACGTGGTGGTGGGATGTAGGCCTCTCGATGACTGTTTAAGAGATTCAAACATGTGGCCGTGAAAAGTGAGGCCCTGACTGCAGCCCTGTAGAAGGGCGAACGAGGCATTTAACTATGATTTGGGCGTGGGGCCGTACCTCCGTGTTTACTTGGGTGAGCTAGGGCCGGAGCCTAGACCCTGTTCACTTGCCTTCTATGGGTTCAATGGCAATTATGATGTAATGAGTGGATGCTAACTTTGATAGTGGTTATAACTGGTAACTTAAAGCTTCAAGTGTTTTTTAAGTAGAGTGGCTTGGCCGCTGCTGGTATCGTAGAAGAAGCCTTAGGGTTAAGACAGATGTTGATGTGTTTGAATGTAACGTAGGGGTAGCTATAGGAGCACAACGTGAGATCCTGAGGTGAGGGATATGAATGATTAGTCTGAGACTGGGACGAGTTTATGCTATAGAGGGAAACTGATTGAGGCCTTAGGGGTAGCAAGTGCTATTAACGAGTAAGAACGCAAATACCTGGTAATGCAGTGGGGTACCAGGTTAGGTAGGTTCTTGCCTAATGGCAGTATGAATGTAGGCCTAAGTAAAAAATGTAGAGAATTTAACACAACAAGGACGTAGGACCATGTGATAATCGTGATAAATAGAGACCGGGTCAGGTCTAATATAAAAAGCCCTCTAATGAGTGGAGTCCTATACCTTGATTTGTTGTACAGGTACTTGGATGAGCGTAAGTTTTTTTTTTTTTACGGAGAAAACCGGAGGAGGCCTAGAATAATGTTGGAGCTATTGTTTAAAGCCATCGTATAATTTTAAAATTAGCTATGGTTATAGCAGTATATATTAATTAACAAATTCCATTTGTGACAAGTTTAGAGTGAAGGCTGCCTGAGGCCTTGACATGGTTGAAACTGAAGTGAATAAATACTATAATGGATTGTAAATACAAGAACTTGAATTTGACAACTTTATGCAGAAATACAAAATAAACAGGCAATCTGTGGAGACCAAAAAAATTTAACAGAGGCTAAGATTAATGTCTGCGTAAGCTAAAGAGAAATAGAGAATACTATGAAATGAATGGTTTGAAAATTCCCCCAGAAGATTGTGCTATATATTAATATATATGTTTGTGATGGCGTACGGGGTTGGCGTGGAGTTGAAAAAACTCTGTCAAAGCAATTGGGTGCCAGAAAAATGTATTAAGTATTTAACACAACTAAAACATAGAGAGTTAACTCCAAAAGGCATTGGAATAAATAAGCGAGTACTGAGATAAAGTGTCGTACATCTGAGGATCTTATAATTAAACATAGTTAAACCAAGAACCACAGACGTAGTAGTAAATGGTTGCAATAATAAACAGATTTTAACTAATTCTGACAGATTTAATACAAATAGTTAAGTAACCGAACGTGTTACTATAATATATATATATATATATATTGTGATCCTTGTTTGCAGGTAGCACGGTCCTCTAGGGTAAACAATAGGCACAGTCCTTGTAATTGCATATACTCCAGGCACTTTATTTGCAAATCCACACAGGATACAGCAGTAAATGAAAACATAAATGTAACAGGTTTCCCTTTAAACAAAAACCTAGCTCGTCTGAGCACTGACTCACTTTGAGTAACCCTCTCTATCA